CCAAACCAGAGTCCTGACCCAGAGTCCTGACCCAGAGTCCTGACCCAGAGTCCTGACCCAGAGTCCTGACCCAGTGGGAGCAGTTCTGGTTCAGGTTCAGAGGAGCTGGAGTGGGGAGTGAACCAACCAAGAACAACATATAACGAACCAAACTGGATTCACGCTTCTGTTCAAATGATGCACCACCTCAGAAGCAGCTGGAGTCCTCGAGCACAGAGGACCAGAGCAGCCTGCCCGGACCTGTCCAGGTCCGTATGGGATGGTGTCTGGGTCCAGTTTGTGACCCCTGACCTACGCAGTACCATGGCCCTCGCAGCCCACTGATGCAAAACGGAAACTTTTTTGTGACCCTCTAGGTGGCCCAGTGGTAAAGAATCACTGCTCCAAACAACAGTTTAATATGATTTAAATGTTTCACACCAGAGTGAATATGTAACCCGCATTTGAGAGACTTTTATTGTTGCGGGTCAATTCTGCTTCACCCCGATCTCCCCCACTTCCTTTAAGTTGCGGGGTCACCGTGTCACTTCCTCCTCCTCCTCTCCGCTGTGGCTGGTCTGGCGTCGGCAAACAATTTCAATAAACTTTTAAACCACGAATCCTATAACATCCATAATTAGGTGAGTGTTTTGCCACATTATTAGAATGCTGCCGATTTAATAATCACGTTCAAGAATTTCGCTAAGCTACTTAAAGGTTGTATGGAGGATTTTTTGTTTTTTTTGTTTCAAATTGTCAGTGATAGATTATAGATGCAGTCGCCTTGTAATTATGATGACCAAAAAAAAAGAGAATAAAAGTTCATCAACTCTGGACGTGGTGGGGCTAAACATTTGCCAATAGATAACGACACTGCCTCGTTATCTGTGAGCTGACAGGCTGTCAATCAAACTCCCTACGTTTCTAGTGTAACTGACTTGCCTGCGCCGCCGGTACGTGGTTTACGTACGACTGTCACACAGTCCACAGACGCAAGACGCACAGACGCTGTTTACTCCACCAACACAACAGTTCTTAGCGGCTTTTTTTGACCTATATCTTCTCGCAGTTCGCACAAAGTTTGTTGCGATGGCGACAAGAATCCAGGAGCAGTTCACCGCAAAAGAAAGTCCGTTTTTGAGGTCGCTGAAAGAAGAAGACAAGGGGAAAAGCAGCGAAGCCAAACTAAGGTGATTCTTGTAGATTCATTCCAGCGATGGCGCGACTGAAGCAGACGAAGAGTCTAAAGACTGAACCACTGGTCCACAAATTACTCCTGGACAGGAAACTTCTGCTTATTATGAAAACCTACTTTATTTCCAAGAGCGAGACAAACGTTTTTCAGGACACGAATGTGATATCCTATGTCTGAAAACGTCATTTTCAAGGCAAAGAAAGAGTCCGCTTGCTGCTGCGTGTTGTAGTAGTAGCTAGTTCATTCGCACAGAATCTCTGCGCCCCCCTCTGCCCGTTCCGCTCTTCTCCCTGCTCCTCACGGAATCTCCATGCACCGCTCCCCTCTCCTCTCCTCTCCTCCTCTCCTCTCTCTCTCTCCTCTCTCTCCTCTCTCCCTCTCCTCTCCTCTCTCTCTCCTCCTCTCCTCTCTCCCTCCCTCTCCTCTCTCTCTCACTCCCTGCTCCGTTCTTCTCCCTGCTTCTCACTTCTCGTCCGCGCACGAAATATCCGCGCACCCCTCCCCCGCTCCTCACTTCTCCGTCTTGTCTAACCAACACTGTAGTTAGTTGTTTACAAGTCATGTGCAGCGGCTGTAAACAAACCTGTTTGTGGCGTAAGGAGGAGGAGGGAGGAGGTGTTTCTACGTAGGAGCTGTGGGGGAGGGGAGGTGGTTTCACGCAGGAGCAACATTTGAAAAAGGACAAACAGTCGCTGGATTTCTCCTTCCTTGGAAAATCCTCTATACAACCTTTAATTCTGTAAAAATCGCTAATGCCACGTCTCCGATTCTCAGAGCCTCCATATAGATTTATACACACCTGGCCGTGTGGAGAGGAGATCGCAACACAAAATCCAAAGGTACAAGATTTTCCTTTTGTACTAATCAGAAGCCCGAAGTGAAGCTAAAAGATTGGTTAATGTGGTCGCTAACTTTATTTTTCGTGACTTTGATTCATTTGTGCAGTTTTAGCACAGTTTCTAGTATTTGTTAAAACTCCGGTGGAGTTCGTCTATTGAACTGAGCGTAGCTACGCACTTTACTTTGAAACAATGATATTGCGCAATATAGAGTTTATCGGCCTCTGCTTGGGCATGTGTGGTAATTCTTTGATTTAAGTGCACTTAATTATGATCAACTTACTGAATTTATTTTATTTATTAACTTAATAATGATTAACTTACTTAATTGTGATAAACTTAGTGAATTGAATCTAAATTGTAATTGTTATTGTTAAAATGTTAACCCTTATGAACTTCTTGGGTCATTAGTCAATGACTACATTTAATTTATTTATTATTAATGTGTATTCTGATTAATGATTAATTAATTAACTGATATCTTCAATGTACTGATTAATTGAACATGAACTGTTCACTTGTTAATACTTATTATATGCTTGTATGTTTATGTATACATTTAATTTATTTTTTGGTTAGTGAAGATCTATTAATGTATTATTTAAATGATATTCATTTGTGTTTTTTTGGCCTGAACTCCAGCTTCGCAGAAACTCTCAACTCAACTAGGAAATGAATGATGGCGAGTTTCCCCAAAAACCTGAACTTAGATTAACTTCAGTCAGAATAAAATATAACTGGACTGTTTTTATTTTTTTATTTTGTTTTTGTTATTTTTGTGTTCTGTCAAAAAATGTATTTTCAATATACTTCATCTAACTTCATATTCATGTCTGATGCCGCTTCATTCACACTTGGGCTCCTAAAAGAACATTCTTCTGATGTAGTAACATGAGTGTTAAACAGCTCTACTCCAGAGTGAATACATGAGTGTTAAACAGCTCTACTCCAGAGTGAATACATGAGTGTTAAACAGCTCTACTCCAGAGTGAATACATGAGTGTTAAACAGCTCTACTCGAGTGAATACTGAGTGTTAAACTACTCCAGAGTGAATACATGAGTGTTAAACAGCTCTACTCCAGAGTGAATACATGAGTGTTAAACAGCTCTACTCCAGAGTGAATACATGAGTGTTAAACAGCTGAGTACTCCTCCAGAGTGAATACATGAGTGTTAAACAGCTCTACTCCAGAGAGTGAATACTACTCCAGAGTGAATACATGAGTGTTAAACAGCTCTACTCCAGAGTGAATACATGAGTGTTAAACAGCTCTACTCCAGAGTGAATACATGAGTGTTAAACAACTCCAGAGTGAATCTAGAGTGAATACATGAGTGTTAGCTGTTAAACAGCTCTACTCCAGAGTGAATACATGAGTGTTAAACTGCTCTACTCCAGAGTGAATACATGAGTGTTAAACAGCTCTACTCCAGAGTGAATACATGAGTGTTAAACAGCTCTACTCCAGAGTGAATACATGAGTGTTAAACAGCTCTACTCCAGAGTGAATACATGAGTGTTAAACAGCTCTACTCCAGAGTGAATACATGAGTGTTAAACAGCTCTACTCCAGAGTGAATACATGAGTGTTAAACAGCTCTACTCCAGAGTGAATACATGAGTGTTTAAACAGCTGAGTGAATACAAGTACAGCTCTACTCCAGAGTGAATACATGAGTGTTAAACAGTCTACTCCAGAGTGAATACATGAGTGTTAAACATGAATACATGAGTGTTAACAGCTCTACTCCAGAGTGAATACATGAGTGTTAAAACTGAACCACGAGTGAATACTGTCGACGTGAATACCACGAGTGAAAACCACACAGACTCGACGGACCACACAATACATGAGTGACACACACAGAGTCCGTTCAATCAGCTGAGTGCAGGGGCCCCAGGGCCCTCTGCTGTGGGACACCAACACATGTGGAGATGAGACAGGGTCTACTGCAGGGGTCCACCTGTCACTGCACCTGTCACTCACTGTCACTGCACTGTCACTGTCACTGCACTCACCTGTCACTGCACTGTCACTGTGTCAGACTCACCTGTCTCCTTTGTGCATCGCAGTTGTGTGCTGGAGATGTAGTTTTGTTGCTGCATGTGGACTTCACACAGGTACTCGCTAGAGCCCGACCGATATATCGGCTGGCCGATATTATCGGTCAATATGGACACCTGGAGACATATCGGCCGATATGCTTGCTGATATGGGCCGATATTTCACGTGGGCATGTTACACCTCGTTATAAAGCTTAGACTCTCTACATTCTGTTCATTTAATCCAATTTACAGACAGATAAATGTCCTAATATGTGGCTCTACTACGTCAGTTATTTATCTGCGGTGTAATTTGTCTGTGTTCGTACTGTCCCTGAACACACCACCAGAGTCACGTCACTTCACTCACGTGTGTTTGTTTACACTCGCAGCCGTGCGCAACACTGAGATTATTTTCTTTTTACGGACAATCGGTTTGAGTCTGGATTAAAAGGACATTTATTAGTTCAGACTTGTGATGTGGGAGGAGCCTGTGTGAGCGGTGAGTGTTGGAAATACATCGACTTTGAAGCTAGTTTATGTTTTGTTAGCGATTAGCTGCTGTAGCTCCTGCACATAAACAGGCTGTTTTCTATTGGTCTATTGTAAAGTGTTTACATTGGCCGTATATTTGTTACTGGACCAGTATTGATATGTAAATGAGCTGTGAATAGACGTGTGAATGATCCACATTTATGCACATAATTAATTACCGCGGTGCTCACGTTTTTACGGCTAAAGGCTAATAGTGGTAGTTTATTTACTAGCTAGGAGTTATGGGTCGGTCGCGATCGAAGCGGCTCTTAGATTCGGCTCTTTGAAGCGAACAACAGGGAGCATGTTTCTTATTGGGAGCCGTGTTTTCTCTTTTTCTCACTTTTTCTCTTCAAGCTGCTTGTCGACCCGTAGTTTGACAGCAGCAGCGGATCAGTATGAGCTCAGCCCCGTCCAATCTGCAGGGAAGGACACAGGTCTCCATGACGACACAGGACACTGACCGCCGCTCTGAGGAGACAAGGAGACAAAGTTAAGGGACAAGGAAATGAGTGAGGGAACAAGGACACACTTCTTGGGCATCAGTTTGTCCTAAAGCTGCGTTCAGACGGCGGCGTCACGGCGTCCACTTTACAAAGTCTATGTGGACGGTAAGAATCTAGTGTGGACGCGTCTTTAACGTTTAGATGTCGCTCTGGAAGCACTTCCAGGGCATCAGTGTCAGAAGTTGAAAAGGCTGAACTTTTGTTGTCTAATGCTTGCGGAGAGCAGATATACAAACAAAAATACACACTACAACCTCCGATCTCCTCCACTGAAGTGTTTATGTCATAAAAACACTAAAGTTTTTCTTTTAACCGGGAAATCAAGACTCTCTCCGACCGCAGCGACGCCCTGGACACAGGTCATGCATTTCTCTCCCGTTGTTTCTCGTCGTCTAAGTCGTGCGTCACGTCTGAACTCAAATACAAAGGCTCCGTCTGGAGGCGTCCAGCGTGTTTTTTGTGGCGGCGTCTGAACGCAGCTTAAGGGCAGCGCGGTGCTGGTAAAATGCCCTGTTCTCTGGTGTCAGTTGGACACAGGAAACAGGTGGACTTCATCTTCAGGACTTGGTGTGAGGAGTTTGTGCCTCCAGCAGAAGTGGGAGAACACATTTAAAAGCTGACTATACAGGAGGCGGCCCGCAGGGGGCAGTAGAGAGTTCACAGACCTGGCTCCTGTCCTCCTGCAGAGGTCCACAGCCAGACCAGCAGCCCCACCCTCCACAGCCCCACCCTCCACAGCTCCATCTGAAACACACACATTTGGATCAGAGTCAGACCAGAGTCCAGAGGAAACACTTCCAAAGGCCCCACTCTTCTGCTCACACACACACATTTGTGTTTTTAAAACTAACATTTGTCACATTGATTGAAGCACAAACAAAAACACAACACAACAAAACAACACAACACAACATGAGCTCCATCAAACAGGAACTAAATCAAACTAAAGAGATTTGGTCCAATTTGTGTTTGTAACAGATAAATTACTGTTAACCTGCACCTGTCAGGACCTGTCAGCTGCACCTGTCACTCACCTCTGAACGTCTCCAAAAGTCTCCAAACGATTTCAGAAAATATTCCAAACCCAAGACACAGACGCTTTTCTGCACCTGAACACGAGGAGCTGAAACAGAGAGAAGAGACACACTGCAGCTCAAACTTTGACTTGAATATTCTTTTATTAAGATTCAGCTTCACAACACTCACATGAATGACTGGGAAACAATAAAAAGAAATAAAGTCATAAAAAACAAATCATATGATGATGATGTGGAAAAAAATATTTATCTCTTGATGATAAATATTTATGCATTAATAATAATAATAAAAAGAACATTTAACAACGACTTGGACAAGAAATTCTCCTTTTTCCGTCCCGGTCGGGACAAGTGTGAGTCCATGTGCACAGGTTGAGGTGAGAGTTCAGTGTCCCTCGTTTATCGTGGGTTTATGTTCTAAAAATAACCTGCGATAGTTGAAATCCACGAAGTATCAACTTTATATTTTACAATTATTCTATCTGTTTTAAGTCTGTAAAACCTCAGCACAAACTTTATACACTTTTCTCCGACAGGATCGACAGGTGCAACACTTTTTACTTCCTTCTTAAAACTTGTTGCTGCTGTCGTCCTTTTGTTATTTTCCTCCTTCTTTATGTAACAAACTGAAGATTCATTTATTCTGTAATGAAGCCGACAGCAGCAGAGTCCAGTACAGGACCACACCTGCCAGTACAGGACCGCACCTGCTGCCAGGACAGGACCGCACCTGCCAGGACCGCACCTGCCAGGACAGGACCGCACCGCCAGCCAGGACAGGACCGCACCCGCCAGGACAGGACCGCACAGGACCCGCCTGCCCGTTAACACAGAGATAATATCAAACTTTTGCACTGCCCACACCACAGACTGAACCAGGACTAAACCAGGACTAAACCAGGACTAAACCAGACTAAACCAGGACTGAAACAGGACTGAAACAGGACTCAGTGTGGGGTCGGGTCGGAGGTGACGCAGGAGAAAGGAGCGGCTCAGCTCTGCTCCTCACGGAGGTAAACGCGGCAATTGCCCGATCGCGATTTGTGGACAAACTGCTCGGCGTTTTCTCTCTTAAGTCCAAGATTAGTCCTGGTTTAGACCTGGTTTAGTCCTGGTTTAGTCCTGACCCACCCGTGTGTAATTACTACCCTCCTGTAATACACAATACACGTTCATACGCTGTAAAAAAAAATAAAAAATCTGCGAAAAAACTCCACGAATCTGTGGTGAGAGCGACTGAATGTGCAGCTGACAACTCCTGCTCCACTGTGTGTCTTGTGTTGTAAATGCTGGGGACTACAGTTTGTTTCTCGTGGCTGCAGGACGACACGCTGTAGCCAGGTTCCAGCACATGTAATAAATATTTGAAGTCGACCTCTTCTACAGTGGAGTACGGGCGCAGAGCGGATGCAAAATAAATCTCAACTGCTTCGCTCATTTTTTTGCTCTTACCAATCAGAGTTTTCAGATGTAAATGTGTAAATGCGTCCTGAAGGAACTCTCACGCCACACAACAGTTCCACGTTTGTTTCAGTATCTCAGGATCTTTTTTAATCAAACTTTATTTTGTACCGTGTTTTCTACGTGAAAATGCTCGTACCGAACCATAACCCCTGTACCGTGACGGTTCAATATGAACACACATACTGTGCCACGCCTGTTCATAACCCTCTTTCATCACTACGGCGACTGCAGACTGAACCACATTTCATCTGCAACTTTGGACATAAAAAGGTGTGTCTCATCTCAGATAAAAGTGACATAAAACATTTATGAGGTCAGAGTCCAGACCAGGAAAAGTTCAGTTCAGTTCAGAGACACGGAGGCAGAAGAATCTGTGTGAACCACCATTTCAACTGGACCAAAGAAACTCTGGTTGGGGAATTTCTCCTGCGGTACAGTACAGCGGCTCAACAGTGCGGTACGTGGTGATACCACAGACCTACGCCGCTCCTTCCACCTGCGCTCACCCCACAGTCTACACGGGCGCAACGTCGAGCTCGTCCCAACAGTGAGTCCTGGTTTAGTCCTGGTTCAGTCCTGGTTTAGTCCTGGTTTAGTCCTGGTTTCCTGGTTTAGTCCTGGTTCAGTCCTGGTTTAGTCCTGGTTCAGTCCTGGTAGTCCTGGTTTAGTCCTGGTCTCAGTCCTGGTTTAGTCCTGGTTTAGTCCTGGTCCTTTTAGTCCTGGTTTAGTCCTGGTTCAGTCCTGGTTTAGTCCTGGTTCAGTCCTGGTTTCAGTCCTGGTTTAGTCCTGGTTTAGTCAGTCCTGGTTCAGTCCCTGGTTTAGTCCTGGTTTAGTCCTGGTTCAGTCCTGGTTCAGTCCTGGTTTAGTCAGTCCTGGTTCTGGTTAGTCCTGGTTAGTCCTGGTTTAGTCCTGGTTTAAGTCCTGGTTTAGTCCTGGTTTAGTCCTGGTTTAGTCTGGTTTCTGGTTCAGTCCTGGTTCAGTCCTGGTTTAGTCCTGGTCAGTCCTGGTTCCTGGTCCTGGTTTCAGTCTGGTTAGTCCTGGTCAGTCCTGGTTCAGTAGTCCTGTGTTCGTGTTCCTGAGAGTCCTGGAGTCTGGTTTAGTCCTGGTTAGTCCTGGTTTAGTCCTGGTCAAGTCCTCCTGGTTTCATTTTCAGTTTTGTGTGATTCCTGGTTAATTGTTGAAGTCGTAACTTTTTTAGTCCTGGTTCAGATTCTGATGGACGCTTCAGTGAGAAGATTTGAATCTGTGTGTGATTTATCACGGCACGGAGGGTAACAGGTGGAATGTTAACAGGTCCGGCAGGTGCGGGTTTGACTTTATATAATCACGGGTTAACGGGCGGCGGTGCGGGTGCTGACTCGCGGGTGTGGGCGGGTGCAGGACTCTGGGTCGGGTCACGTTGGTCACGTGTGGTGTTCGGTGACACAACATGAACCACAGTGATTCAGTTTTGCTGTTATCACAACAGCCCCAATTAAAAAGACTTTATAAAGTCATATTGTAGAGTCTATGGAGTGTAAAGAGACTTCTGTTACAAACAGCACAGAAAGTGAACGGAGAAGAGCAGTGGGGGATGGACCAGACTGTGGAATATAAAACAGGAAATGGCAGCTCAGATTCAACTCATAAACTTAATACAAGATGAAGAAAAAAGAACAAATCAAATCAACCTTCATGACTCCAGCAGGTATGAAATGTGTGTGTGTTTAATCTGTTCTAAAAGGCTCCAGAGAAGAACAGAAATAATATTATTATTAATTAATAAATAAGAGAAAGAGGCTGGAGGTCCTGAAGGTTTATCGTCGGCTTTTGTGTTTGTCTGTGGTTTATGTTTCTGTCCTTCTTCTTTAAATGGTCTGAAAATGTGGTGAGGTGTCTGACATTTTGTGTCTTTGTGGTTTTATTTGTAGAGACAAAATGGCTTCCAGGCTGGAGGAGGACCTGACCTGTCCCATCTGCACTGAGCTCTTCAGAGATCCTGTGCTTCTGTCCTGCAGCCACAGCTTCTGTAAAGTCTGTGTGGAGAACTGGTGGAGGAACAAACCCATAAAGACCTGTCCAGTTTGTAAGAAAGAGTCTTCAAAGGATCCTCCCCTGAACCTGGTCCTGAAGAACCTGGTGCAGACGTATAAAGAGCAGAGAGAGCAGACCTCTTCAGAGCCTCTGTGCAGCCTTCACTCAGAGAAGCTCCGGCTCTTCTGTCTGGACCATCAGCAGCTGGTGTGTCTGGTCTGCAGAGACTCCAGGACTCACAAAGATCACAGGTTCAGTCCCATCGAGGAGGCGGCCGAGGACCAGAGAAAACATCTGAGGACGTCCATCAAACCTCTGCAGGACAAACTGCAGGTACAGACTCTTCACCTCAGTAACTGTGGTTAAGTGAAGTTCTTTTGTTCTAAATTCAGATCAAACCAAACACACAGACACAGGGAGAACATGCAAACTCCACTCTGAAACGCTCCGTCGGGAATCAGTCCCAGGACCCTCTTGTTAAGTGGAGGGAGCACTAACCGCTCAGCCACTGTTTGACCATGTGGAGCCTCTGCAGACCTCCCTCTCCCCAGACACCTGGTTGTGTTCTCACAGCCTTTAGAACCCTGTGGCCCTCAGCTCACACAGACCACTGTCACACTTAGACTGCTGCACCAGAGGCTGGGCTCTGCTCACTCACTTCACTTCACATTTTCTTTGAGTCTGAACTTTGATTTACAATCATCAAACTGTGTTCACTCACTTCCATCACACTAATGTGTCAGGGCCCCACACACCAGAGGGCTGCTCTCTCTGATTCACTCTGACTCTTTGTGCAGGTTCTGACCCAGAGGAAAAAGCAGTTTGAAGACGCTGCAGCTCATATCACAGCCCAGGCTCGACAGACAGAGGCACAGATCCGAGACCAGTTTAACAAACTNATGACTCCAGCAGGTATGAAATGTGTGTGTGTTTAATCTGTTCTAAAAGGCTCCAGAGAAGAACAGAAATAATATTATTATTAATAATAATAAGAGAAAGAGGCTGGAGGTCCTGAAGGTTTATCGTCGGCTTTTGTGTTTGTCTGTGGTTTATGTTTCTGTCCTTCTTCTTTAAATGGTCTGAAAATGTGGTGAGGTGTCTGACATTTTGTGTCTTTGTGGTTTTATTTGTAGAGACAAAATGGCTTCCAGGCTGGAGGAGGACCTGACCTGTCCCATCTGCACTGAGCTCTTCAGAGATCCTGTGCTTCTGTCCTGCAGCCACAGCTTCTGTAAAGTCTGTGTGGAGAACTGGTGGAGGAACAAACCATAAAGACCTGTCCAGTTTGTAAGAAAGAGTCTTCAAAGGATCCTCCCCTGAACCTGGTCCTGAAGAACCTGGTGCAGACGTATAAAGAGCAGAGAGAGCAGACCTCTTCAGAGCCTCTGTGCAGCCTTCACTCAGAGAAGCTCCGGCTCTTCTGTCTGGACCATCAGCAGCTGGTGTGTCTGGTCTGCAGAGACTCCAGGACTCACAAAGATCACAGGTTCAGTCCCATCGAGGAGGCGGCCGAGGACCAGAGAAAACATCTGAGGACGTCCATCAAACCTCTGCAGGACAAACTGCAGGTACAGACTCTTCACCTCAG